GGACTGAACAGTGAGACAATGTGGAGCCTCCCGGTGGCGTCCTACCGTGGCCTAGCGAATGAGCCGCCCAGAGGACGGCGTTTGTGCAGACATGACATGCCGGTTAAAGTGAGCTTTGCCATGACCATCTACAAAAGCCAGGGATAGTCCCTAAAGATGGTTGGCCTAAACCTGGTGTTTCCTTGCTTCTCTCATGGAGAGGTCTATGTTGGATGCTCCAGAGTGGGAACTGGCAAAAATCTGTACATACTTGCTCCTAATGGCAAAACCAAAGATGTGGTCTACCCTAATGCACAACAGTGAGACAATGTGGAGCCTCCCGGAGGGTGGCGTCCTACCGTGGCCTAGCGAAAGAGTTGCCCGGAGGAAGATGAGTTTGCTCAAATACTCCTGTATGTTAACGTACCCAAGTTCTACATATGGCAGGCTTCAATGAAAAAAGTTCCAGAGAAGAGCTCAAGGATCCGATGTTGAAGGATATCCAGGGATAAAGTTAGGCAATGCTTTGGGACGTGTCTACACAGTTCGCCCCAACAACTTTGAATGCTATTGTTTGAGACTACTTTTGCACCACATCCGAGGCCCAACATCATATGCAGCACTCAAGACAGTGAATGGCGATTCCGCTAATATATATAAGTATATATATATATATATATATATATATATATATATATATATATATATATATATATATATATATATATATATATATATATATACAATCAACACCTCACCCTGCCAGGATTCGAACCCACAGCCCACGAGCCCATGACTGTGACCGGGTAACGCTACCTCTGGACCACCAGGATATTAAAGCAGTCCTAGACTATGTTATATTTCACACAAAGCCTGTTCAATGAGCTTATGGTGCCGTGAACCTCTAATGGGGACTACCCGTATCACTTAGGTGGTCAGAGTAACGTTTTACCAAATCCGGCTTCGAAACACGAGGATCCATATATATTTCATTAGCCCAATAAAGCACGCGGGCTTCTACATACAATCAACACCTCACCCTGCCAGGATTCTAACCCACAGCCCACGAGCCCATGACTGTGACCGGGGAACGCTACCTCTGGACCACCAGGATATTAAAGCAGTCCTAGACTATGTTATATTTCACACAAAGCCTGTTCAATGAGCTTATGGTGCCGTGAACCTCTAATGGGGACTACCCGTATCACTTAGGTGGTCAGAGTAACGTTTTACCAAATCCGGCTTCGAAACCCTTTGATCCATATATATTTCATTAGCCCAATAAAGCACGCGGGCTTCTACATACAATCAACACCTCACCCTGCCAGGATTCGAACCCACAGCCCACGAGCCCATGACTGTGACCAGGGAACGCTACCTCTGAGCCACCAGGATACTAAGGTGTTGATTGTATGTAGAAGTCCGCGTTCTCTTATTACTTACACTTCTAGATATAAAACCCAATGCTCTGTTTGCCTTATTTCGAACATTAACGCACTGTTTTCTAGGCCGTAGGTCCAGGCTTACAAGTACCCCTAGGTCTCTTTCACAAGTCGACTTCTCTAGGTTGATGTTGTAAAGGCTGTATACATTGACAGTATTTGTTCTTCCAATATTAAGTACGCTGCACTTGCTGGTGTTGAATTTCATTTGCCATTTTTCAGGCCACACATGCAGTTTATTTAGATCCTCCTGTAATGCATTTGCATCCTGCCCTGAATTAATCTGCCGCCCAATTTTGGTGTCATCCGCAAACTTGCTTATGTCACTGCTGTTCCCAGTATCTAGATCGTTTATGTAGATTATGAACACGAGTAGGCCCAGTACTAACCCCTAAAGAACCCCACTGGTTACACAGCCCCACTCAAATTTAACACCATCTACGCTGACCCTCTAATATTGCTTTGTAAATAACCCAAATATCAATGTAAAGTTTGTAATGATATCAGGTGCGAGTGTAAGACGAGACACACGAACGTGCCCTGATAAATGAGTACAAGTCAAGGCACACGAACGTGCCCTGATAATTTTAGTGAGACGAGGCACACGAACGTGCCCTGATTTAAGTGGTGGAAACGAACGCAATTCAAATTACCTGATTAAGCAAGATGTCGGAGATTAGGTATATTGATGAGTGGTGAAACAGGAAATGAGCTTGCAATACCAGGAGATCCACGGGAAGGTCACAGTAGGGAATTGGATTATCAACAAGCAGTGGCCAGAGCTGAGGCAGCGTCGGATGAAGTAAACCGAGCCCTGCGAGAGCTTAAGGCAGGGTGGATGAAAACGATGCACACTGGAATGGTGGCAGGTCAAGAGACATCAGCACTAACACGAAGAAGTGACAGCTCACAGCCTTCGACAGAGAACTCCAGCAATTATGAGAAGCCAATAGTACGGGAAGAAACCCAGCAACAGGCATCGGTCAATGTCGAGAAAATGGCATCGTCTTTACCGCCAATGCTTGCAAACAAAGCGCCTCAAGTCACAATTATGCAACCACAGGGAGAATCAGGGAAGGGTGAAGAAATAAGAGAGTTAGTGGTTACGATGCGCATGCCGCAAGCCACCCTTCCCAAGGGCGGGCGGAGTTTTGGACCTTTATGCATACCTTCCGTCGATACATGACAAATGCGGCCGTGCCAGAGAAGTACAAGTGCCAACTGCTCATGGATTCTTGTGTAGGAGAAGAGTTACATCAAGCAATCATGGGATGCGACTATAAAGAGCCAGACAGAGCCTACAACAAGGCAATCAAGATCCCTGGAGGCAAGGTTTGGAGATAAGTATGCATATGCGGACCAGCTGGTGAAAAGGCTCATCGACGCTCTCTCAGTGGGGGCGTTCGACTACGAAGGGCTGCGAAAACTGGCATCTCAGCTATGGGGTGCAGTAAGCCATCTAGAAAATCTGAACTTGATGTCTGAACTTGAATCACGGCAGACCTTCAGAACGCTGGTGATTAAGCTTCCACCCAAATTGAGGGAGCACTGTGTGGATGATGTACGGAATTATCAGAAGTCGACAGGACGCAGAACGTGGCTGGTGAAGTGGTTAGCGCTATATTTGGAGGAGAAAGCGGTGACGATGGATGACATGGCTCTGCTATCAAGCGAGGACAGTCAAGAAGGAAGTAAGAAAAGACCAGAAGGATCATCGTCAAGCAAACGTGCCGTGGGCCTAGTGACTATCAGTGAAGCGAAAGGCAATGGAGGAGAAACAAGCTCTGGAAAAGGCTCGTGCCCAGTGTGTTCCAGAGCACATGGATTAGCAGGGTGCGACAAATTCCGGAGCATGTCAATGAGGGAGAGGTTAGAGAGGGTAAAAAGATTACGTTGCTGTTTCTTGTGTCTGAGAGTGGGCCACCTTGTTGCTGAGTGTTGATCACGCTTCAGGTGTGGCACTGATGGGTGCAAAGAGAAGCATTCTAGACTGTTGCATCAAGAACGAAGGGAGGCACTTACTGCGAGTATGTCAATGGCAGGCACCTCTGATGGTGGCATGGCCCAGAAAGCCAACCACAGTTCGTACATGACCGGAAAAATAGGCGATGCCTATGCTACAGGGACATAGGACGGCCATGAAAACCCATACAGCTGCGAAAGCGACATCTGACTATCGACGAAAAATGCCAAGATTGTACTGCCCATAGTGAGTGTGAAGATTCGGGGAAAGGACTTACACCCACGAAATCACATCAGAACTTTAGCTCTCTTGGACTCAGGCAGCGACAGGTCATATTGCACCAAAGATCTGGCACAGAAACTAAGGGTGAAAGGGACACCTACCCTGGTAACCATGGGTACGCTTGCCCAAGAGATGATACTCGAGTCAGCGGAAGTAGATCTAGAAGTGGTTGGCGCAGGCATGAAACGAGGCAGAACCATACTTATGCCGAAAGTACTCATTATACAAAATTTCCCCACAACGCTGCACAACTCCGTAGCGAACACAAGTGATATCTCAAGGTGGACCCGTCTGCGAGGTGTGGAATTACCAGAATTACAGAGCAACAGCATAGAAATTCTGATAGGACAAGATGTGCCCTGGTACCCTTGGAGGTCAGAGCAGGAAGGGATGGAATGCCATTCGCCATAAAAACGCGACTGGGTTGGACAGTAAATGGACCGGTGGGGCACCAAGACGCACAAGGAGTTTGCAGGCCAGGATGCCTGATGACCGAAACTGTTGTGAGTCCTGAAACCCGTCTGGAAAGACAAGTTAAGCTTTTTTGGGAGTTGGAAAGTGGGGATACAGGAGCCTTGCAGTCAGCAGCTCATTCACCTGAGGACAAAAGAGTGTAGAGGCTATGATCAGAGACAGGCATCAAAACTAATGGTCATTACCAATTTCCCATACCGTACCGTAATGAGAACACGGAACTCCCAAACAACAAGGCCGTGGCGGAGCGTCGACTAGATGGGCTTCGAAGGAGACTATCCAAGGACGCACGGCTGCGACAAGGATACGTAGAGGAAATAAATAAACTGCTTGCTAAAGGATATGCTGAATCAGTGCCTAAGTGCCAGTTGGAGTCAGATACTGGACTGGTCTGGTATCTGCCTCATCACCCGGTGTTGAACCCAAATAAGCCAAACAAAGTACGCATAGTTTTTGACTGTGCAGCCAAACACAAAAGGACATCGCTGAACGACCAGGTACTACAAGATCCAGACTTCAACAACAAATTACTTGGAGTCCTGTTTAGGTTTCGCCAAGGAACTACAGCCATCATGGCAGATGTAGAGGCTATGTACCATCAAATCCATGTAGCGCCAGAACATCGAGATGCGTTAAGATTCCTCTGGTGGGAGAATGGGGACCTGAGTAGAGAGCCAGTAACTTACAGGATGAAGGTGCACATCTTTGGTGGGGTGTGGAGCCCTTCATGTGCAACTTACGCTCTCCGGAGCACATTTCAAGACCACAGATCCGAGTTTCCCGACATGGTGGCGCAAGAGGAAGTCAACTTCTACGTTGACGACCTGCTCATGTCGCTGGACTCATCAAATGAAGCATGAATGTTAGCGTGTCAGCTTCGAAGACTGCTGGAGTGTGGAGGATTTCGGTTAACTAAGTGGGCCAGTAATCACAAAGGAGTGTTGGCTACCATCCCACCGGAGGAGAGGGAAAATGCACTGAAGGAAATTGATCTTAGGCAAGACAAATTGCCAATGGAGCGAGCCCTTGCGGTTAGGTGGCTCCTGGAAGGTGATCAGCTCGCCATCAAGGTGCAACCAAACTCAAGGCCAGCGACCAGGAGAGGAGTACTAAGCCTGGTCAGTTCTATTTATGACCCACTGGGGTTCGTGGCCCCATTCATCATCAGGGCTAAAATATTATTTCAGTGTGAATGCAGGCGTCGATTAGGGTGGGACGACCCTTTGTCGGCTGTTAATCACACGACCTGGAGCACCTGGCTAGGAGAACTGGCCCACCTGGGGAAATTAAGTGTACCCAGATGCCTAAAAACAGCATGTGCTAAAGAAATCATCTTAGCACAGTTGCACACCTTCTGCGATGCATCGCAGGCTGCTTACGGTGCGGTGACCTATCTGAGAATGGTAGACTCTGGCGGAAGTATCCAGTGCTCTTTCGTGTACGGACGGGCCAAGCTGGCCCCACTCAAGCAACTGACAATACCAAGGCTGGAACTTTGTGTAGCTGTCCTGGCAGTGAACGCTGATCGAACGATTCGCCGAGAAATGACCATGACCATACACGAATCTTATTTTTGGACGGATAGCATGCTCGTCTTGCAGTACATCGCCAATTTGAGCAGACGATTTCAAACGTTTGTAGCCAACAGGATAGCAGTCATACAAGAGCTGTCAAGAACTGACCAGTGGAGACGTGTCGGCACATCGCTGAACCCAGCAGATGATGCAACTAGGACCTGGTTGCAGGATCTAGGTGGATACGAGGTCCTGACTTTCTACTCGGTGTTGAAGAACGGTGGCCAAGGAGAAAGGAACTGAACGACTTACTGGAGGTGAAACGAGAAGTACACCAGAGATCTGTAGTTGCTCTGGCAGTAAGCGAGCAGTCAAAGTGGTCCCTCGCCAAACTGTGGCTCAGGTACTCTTCATGGTACCGCTTGATGAAAGGGGTGGTATGGATTAAAAGGTTCATTTGGTGGCTTGGATCCAGTGCAAGGACCACAGACCTGCGCCTCAAACTGAAGAGGCTAAGCACTGAGGAACTACAGTCGGCTGAGCAGACAATTATAAGATTGGTGCAGAAAGAGGCTTATGAGAAAGAAATCCAAACTGTCATAACGGGTGAGCTGCCGAAGGACAATAAGCTATATAAACTGGAACCTTA